GGGCAGGGCTGCTATTGGCTGAGCTGTTTATGGTTAGGGACCCTGGGGGCTACTTGTTTGTTCCAGACAGTTTGGCTCCTTGCCTAGAAGGGAGGGAGGGAGCCAGTCTCCTTCTGATATGAGTCCACCTGGACGACCTTGTCCAGGAGGGGAGAAGGGAGTTTACATTAGCCTTTTCATTTTCAAATGAAGTTACATTAACCTTTTCAGCAGCTTCCCATTCTCCCGCCGCCCTTCGTGCATTCTTTCCAAAAATCAGGACTTTTTAAAAACACCGCGGGACGCGGGACAAATTGATAAAAATTGGGACTGTCCTGCCAAAAGCGGGATGCCTGGTCACCTTACCCAAGAAGACTTTGGGTGGCTTACGTGGGTCCATGGCATTGACAGTATGCATGTCATGGCGGAATAGGAGGGGCAGAAACCATAGCAGCAATTGAGAAATAACTGGGAAGGAGTCCTGTGTAACTCTGCCCAAAGCTTACCAAGGGAGGACTGTGAAAGATACAGCATGGTTAGAGCTGTACTTCATGGAACCCCTGCCTGGCTGCTGTTTGTGATTCCAGTTAGCTTAATCTGGTTAGCTGGTTCCCCTCAGTTCTTTCTCACACTGATTCTGCTCCTAGTGGAATTTATCTACCTTTCCACCTTCCTATCATCTTTCAACCTCTATTTTCCTTTAATTTCTCCCTTTTTAAACTATAGTAGTCCAAGCTAAGTCCTCCCATCTCAAAACTCTTATAGCATTTATTACTGGTATCACATCCTATGGCATGTTCAATTAAATTTTATCGAGGTTGAAAGACACCATAATGTTAAGTGCATAGACACTGTCATCAGATTGTCTGGGTTTGAATCCCAGCTCCAGCATGAAGTGGCTGTGTGACCTTGGTCATGTGACAGTCTCTCTGTGCCTCAATTTCTCTAGGTATCAATGTATATAATAATAGTATCTCTTGTAACTATTTGCAAAGAGCTTAAGACATGTTTGTCATATTCTAGGCCCTAATTTGTGTTCATTCTCATATTTATAAGAAATATAAGGATGTATGTGGCATTTACCCTACACTCAAGGAATTAATAATTTTGTGCTGGACAGATTCAAATTTTCATGGGCTTCTACACGCCCTGGCCCAGTGGCCTCTGCACTCCGGCCTTCTTGGCATTAATTCCAAGAAGGTTGATTTTCTTTTCTTTTTTTTCTTTCTTTTTTCTTTTTTTTGAGACAGAATTTCGATTTTCCACACTTTAGAACCTGTTTGCAAGGGGAAAGAATGGTGATTACCAGAATTCAAAAAGGGAAAGAGAGAAGACCATTTGAGGAAGGGAGAGGATGGTTTTCCCAAGATTTTGGAAGATTTGTGTTTCAACAGACTGAAGGCCACTGCCTGGACACGTTTCCATCTCCCAACGCACGGGAGTCCCTTCCGAGTCCAGCTGGGTCGCAGCCCCCTAACCTTGCCTTGTGCCTAGCCTCGGCCCCGCCCCTCCTGCTGGCCCCGCCCCCTGAAGGGTGCCTAACTAGGCCCCGCCCCGTCACCCCACCCACTGCAGTGTGCTCCGCCTTGGCCACGCCCCCTGCAGCGAGCACGCCTCGCCTCCCGCCCCGCGCAGCCCCGCCTCTGTCTGTAGCTAGGGTCACTGGGTAGCTGCGTCGCCCTTGCCACAGCCGCGGGCGCTCATCTCAGCGTCTGTGCCTGAGGGAGGCGGGCACGATGGCGGCTAAGGCCCTGGCGGCCGAGGCCGTGGCTTCGCGCCTGGAGCGGCAGGAGGAAGACATCCGTTGGCTGTGGGCGGAGGTCCAGCGCCTGAGGGACGAGCAGCTGAACGCGCCCGAACGGTGCCCGGCCCCGGCCGAGGGACAGTGCCTCCTGCGGGAGGTGGCGCAGCTCCGGGCCGAGAATCGCGACTTGCACCACCGCCTGTATCGTCTGCGGCTGTGCCTGGCCGAGGAGCTGAGCCACCGAGCCAAGCGAGAGGGCGCGGCGCGGGCGGCGGGGGCGCGGGACGAGGCCGGGCGCGGGGCGGTCGGCGCGCAGGTAAGGTGCAGCCCGGATTCCGGCGGGGACGCCGGCCCATCCCCGCAGCCCGCCGCGCCTGTGCGCGGGGAGCGGTTTTCCACACGAGAACGAGTACGGGCCTGGAGGCGCCCTGCGGGGGGTAGCGGCCGGCTCGGCGCCCAGGTGGCGCGCGTCCCCTCCGGCCTCCACTGCCCCGCTCCTCCTGTGCTGCTTCGCGGCTTGGGAGCCATGAGATTTCCAGCAATCGCCAGATTGACCTAGTGGTGTAATTTCTCAGCTCTCGTGTTAAATAGCCTGCTACGTTTTTTTTTCCCCTTGTAGTAGCAATAGTATTTTCATTTGTTAGAAAAAATGCTGGAGCGTTTAAAACTCATTGTTTCTTTGGGCAGAATACCTATTTCCGCTAGTGGCTGGTTCTGAGCTTTTTAGAACAGTGATTTTAGGTTTTTGTTCGCAAGTTTTGGTGGTCTCTCTTGAGGGGAGATCTGTATGCTTAACATTATTTTAATATTTCTTTTCATTACTAGTTTATTTTCCGGTAGCATAATAAACTTTCTCCGTCCTGGAGCTTTTCAGACTGAGATGTGTTTCAGTTCTTTGGGATGGGAACTGTGGTGCACTTGCAACATCTTCATGAAAGAGTGCATTTGAAGTTTCTGGCGGCAACCACGTATTTTCTAGTAACGTTGTTTGTTCGAAGTTTAGGGAAGAAAATTTTAAAGAGCAAGATATATTAAATGTGCTTAGCAAGGATGTGAAATGCACAGACAGGAAGGAAGGCTGAACCCTGGAAAATGACTTTGACGTTGAGGGTTGTATGTGGGAGTCAGGAGAGGAGCCTGGAAATATGGGGCGCTTGTAGCCTGCTGGCATGTCCCTTCTTCCTCAGGTTTGAGATGCGTGCTCTTCCCTTCCCATTGATGTGAGTCATTTATTGTTTATTTTTTAGCCTTCTTCTATTCAAAGCCAAGAAAAGGACGCTAAAAAGAAGAAAGTGAAGGAAATCGAGCCAAACAGTGAGGTATGTTGTTGCTATGGAAATAATATAAAATACTACCTGCTAATTTTAAATGTGTGTATATAGTTAATTACATGGGATTGTTAATAAAAACATGATTACTAATTAAATTATTATATAGGCCACATGAGTATATTTAAAACTTTGCAAGCCCTAGATATGAGGAGACTTAGAAATGAGCTGCCCACACAGCTTATTTAAAGTGCTCCTTTGTCTTAAGTTGATTTAAGAGTTCTTTTGTATTAAGGAAACTAGCCACTTTGCTTTTTTATGTAAATCATTCAAACAATCAGAATACACATATGTAGCACCAACATTTGGTGGGGGCAAAGGAGGGATGCCTGGCCTCAATGCCTGGTTGAAGAGTTCAGAAAGCTGGAGAAACAGAGAACAGAATAAAGTGGTGTATACAGAAGCTCTTCTACTGTGTGACTCTGTGTTGTGTGCGTGCTGTAAACAGTGGAAAAGGGAGATGCCAGTGGGTGGAGTACTTAGCTGGAGAAGGTGGGCATTGAGCTGGACCTTTAGAGCTAAGAAGTAGTTAGATAAATGGACAAGAGTATTTTGGAAGTGGGAAGTAACAGATGCTCCTTATTTACAGTGGGGTTCTGTCCTGATGAACCCAGTGCAAGTTAAAAATGTATTTAAGGCCGGGTATGGTGGCTTATGCCTGTAATCCCAGCACTTTGGGAGGCTGATGCAGGTGGATTGCTTGAGCTCAGGAGTTCGAGACCAGCCTGAGCAAGAGCAAGACCCTGTCTCTACTAAAAACAGAAAAACTAGACGGGTGTGGTAGCAGGTATCTGTAGTCCCAGCTACTTGGGAGGCTGAGGCAAGAGGATAGCTTGAGGTTGCTGTGAGCCCTGACACCGTGGCACTCTACCCAGGGTGACAGTGAGACGGTCCTGGAAAAACAAGAAAAATGTATTTAGTATACCTAAACTTCCAAACATCATCGCTTAGTCTAGCTTACATTAATTTGCTGAGACCACTTACCTTAGCCTACAGTTGGGCAACATCGTCTAACACAAAGCCAATTTTACAATAAAATGTTGAACACCTCGTATAATTAATTAAATACTGTACTGAGTAAAAAAATAGAATGGTCATGTGGGCATTCAAAGTATAGTTTTGCTGAATGCACATCACTTTCACGCTATTATAAAGTTGAAAAATCATAATTCAAACCACTGTGCTTTGGGGCCATATGTAGAGTGAGAGATTCCTAGATCTATGGTGTGCTGAGAAGGCAGTGAAGGGTGGAACTGATTTAGGACTGAGTGACTAGGAAAAAGTGGGCTGTGTATGTTAACCTCAATGTATTCTAACTTTTTTCAGGTGAAATGCCAACCGAATTTCATAAAAGAAAGATTGAAGCTTTTCCAAATACTGAAGAAAGATCATCAACCTTTGCTTGGTGAGAAGAAGGAGAGTACAAGCAATGTGATCACAGTAAGAGTGGCTGGTAGGAAAACAGTTGAAGGGGAAGTGTGGAAAACAACACCTTATCAAGTGGCTGCTGAAATTAGGTAAAGCATAGTTTGAAAAAGATATTCAGTATTAAGTAATTGTATAAGAGCCTGGTGAAAATGTTTTGTTAGGTACTGTGAAAATATTTTTTTCTTCTTCAGTTGAATAAATTAAATGGAATATTTTCCTCTGGCTTCTAAAAAGGCCATTTAAATAAGTAACTGAATGTCAGAGCCGAGTGTCTTCTTGTTCTAATAAATATAATAGAGAAAAAAATCTATAATTCTTGACAAGCCACGTTACATGAACTTTATTCATCAGTCAAGTTATTTCCATGAATATTTATAGGTCTTTTAATTATAGATTGAAGATATGTGTGTTAAAACTATTATCAGTCTTGAAATATTATTTTGACCTTTCTAGAAATTAGATATGTTAGTGAAGTTATGTTGTTTTGACTAATGTTAATTTCCTAGTACAAAATGCAATTTCATGGTTGCTGTAGCTCAAAACTGCCATGTTCGTGAACTTTTATTATTTTAAAAAGAAGCTATTCAACAATTGAAATCCTCAGATTTCCTTTGAAAACTATGGCTAAGATTCTTTCTTTCTTTTTTTTTTTTAACAATCAGTTTAATATATGTCCACAGGTAGTTCATATGAATGCTTAAATTACAAAATTAGCTGCCGTGGTCCGGATGTATGGGACTTTAAGAAAGCTTTTATTACTCAAAAGATAACTAAGCATATCAACTTTGACTTCTAGAATATATTTTAAAGATCTATAAAACAAGGCTAATTCCAGAATTATATAGCATTAAAGTAACAACATTTTGTTATTTTTATTATTTTAATAATTTAATTTCATGAACTGTTAAAAAACATTACATTTGTATCATCTCTCTGTTAACACATTTCTTTATTAACTTAAGAGAAAAACCCATGTGAAAAGTTTCCATGCAGTTAAAAGGCAGCAGCACATGCTGTTTTCACAGCAACTTCTTGTTATTGCCTCAGAACAGACCTGCACATAAAGCAATCAACAAAATATACCCACCTACCCCACTCCCACCAGAAAACCCAATCCTTTCCCATCCCCAGCAAAAATTACCTGGTACAAGCAGTAACCTAAAAAATGCTTTCTTAGTAGGAAGCATTTATAAAATGCAGCGATCTGTACAAGCTAAATGCTCGTGCAGATAGATGGGCCTCTCCCCCGAGAATATTCCCCTCACAAGGCAGAAAGACTCTCAATAGTTTGGGAAAGCTCATTTTTTGAAGTATGCTTATGCATATTCATGGCTATTTCTTCGAAAGAACACACCCAGAACACTTCAACTATGGAAGAGATAAAAGCAGAGGGAGAAGCAAAGGTACACAGCCAGAGCACAGAGAATAGAGCTTCTCCATGAACATCCAATAGATTGCAGCAACCCAGAAGGAAAATGTAAGACTTCACACAGATCAATGATCTAACTGTGAACTAATCCAAGTGAAGTGTTAACTTTTCATGCATGTGTTACTCAAGAAAAAGAAAAATACAACCAGTTAAAATGAAAGCATTCCCACTATCATTAGCTCATGGTATCAGGTAAAGAGAAAACTCTGCTCCTGTACTATCTATCCCTAGAATTATTCATGTATTTGTCAGTATCTTAATGCTTACAGATTTCCTATAATACTGTCATCAGCACCTCCCATCCATGAAACATACGCTGCATTGAGTCCCTAAAATTTCATTACTACATATAGTGTTCTAAATTTTATGTTTTTACAAGTTTAATGTAGACACAGAAAAAAAAAACCCAGCAAGCAATGTTTATTGTGCAATTCCAATAGCTATTTGTGGAATCTTTCAGATTAAGTCTTCATAGCCATTTCAACTGCCTATTTAAACAAAAAGGAATAATTTACCTATAAGTTTCATGATATTTCTTCAAACACTGAAGTACTAAAAGCACTGCTGATTCATGTTATAATTTTAAAAATATGTTAAAACTACAGATTTCACTATCATTCCTTTTATAAAATAATCAAAATAATTTGATTACCCAGAAGAAAATTACTGAAACAGAGACTTTTTCTTTTTTTTT